GGCAGCTGTGAGCTGTGCAGGAGAGGACTGCAGCTGTGCAGTGGAGGACGGCAGCTGTGCAATGGAGGACGGCAGCTGTGCAGTGGAGGACCACGGCTGTGCAGGGGAGGACCACAGCTGTGAGCTGTGCAGTGGAGGACAGCAGCTGTGAGCTGTGCAGGAGAGGACTGCAGCTGTGCAGTGGAGGACTGCAGCTGTGAGCTGTGCAGGAGAGGACTGCAGCTGTGCAGTGGAGGACCACAGCTGTGCAGTGGAGGACGGCAGCTGTGAGCTGTGCAGTGGAGGACCACAGCTGTGCAGTGGAGGACCGCAGCTGTGCAGTGGAGGACCACAGCTGTGCAGTGGAGGACCACAGCTGTGCAGTGGATGACGGCAGCTGTGCAGTGGAGGACCGCAGCTGTGCAGTGGAGGACCACAGCTGTGAGCTGTGCAGTGGAGGACGGCAGCTGTGAGCTGTGCAGGAGAGGACTGCAGCTGTGCAGTGGAGGACTGCAGCTGTGAGCTGTGCAGGAGAGGACTGCAGCTGTGCAGTGAAGGACCACAGCTGTGCAGTGGAGGACGGCAGCTGTGAGCTGTGCAGTGGAGGACCACAGCTGTGCAGTGGAGGACCGCAGCTGTGCAGTGGAGGACGGCAGCTGTGAGCTGTGCAGTGGAGGACCACAGCTGTGCAGTGGAGGACCGCAGCTGTGCAGTGGAGGACGGCAGCTGTGAGCTGTGCAGTGGATGATGGCAGCTGTGCAGTGGAGGACCACAGCTGTGCAGTGAAGGACCACAGCTGTGCAGTGGAGGACCACAGCTGTGCAGTGGAGGACCACAGCTGTGCAGTGGAGGACCACAGCTGTGCAGTGGATGATGGCAGCTGTGCAGTGGAGGATCGCAGCTGTGCAGTGGAGGACCGCAGCTGTGCAGTGGAGGACCGCAGCTGTGCAGTGGAGGACCGCAGCTGTGCAGTGGAGGACGGCAGCTGTGAGCTGTGCAGTGGATGATGGCAGCTGTGCAGTGGAGGACCACAGCTGTGCAGTGGAGGACCACAGCTGTGCAGTGGAGGACCGCAGCTGTGCAGTGGAGGACCACAGCTGTGCAGTGGAGGACCACAGCTGTGCAGTGGAGGACGGCAGCTGTGCAGTGGATGATGGCAGCTGTGCAGTGGAGGATCGCAGCTGTGCAGTGGAGGACCACAGCTGTGCAGTGGAGGACCACAGCTGTGCAGTGGAGGACCACAGCTGTGCAGTGGAGGACCACAGCTGTGCAGTGGATGATGGCAGCTGCGCAGTGGAGGATCGCAGCTGTGAGTTTTGTAGTAGAGGATTCCCAGAGGTAAGCATGTCTGAGCTTCTGTTTCTACATTCTTCTATAGCAGTAAGAAACTGGTAAGTGCTATAAATGTCCACACATCACAAAGAGACTTTCATGACCAACAAAGTGGATGACAGTTGATGTAATGCTGTCTTTCACTCAGTCAACCGAATCTGTTAACTGTGGCAAAGAAAAACTCTGTACAGAGAAACAAACATTAGCACAGGTCTTCCATGGCTCATCTGTAAGAGGGATTCACAATAACACAGGGCTAGAGAGATCACAGTCAAAGCGCTTGCCTTACAAGTCCGAAAACCCGAGTTTGCACGCTAAGACCCACACAAAAAGCCAGTCGTGGAGGTTTGTGTTTGCAATCCCAGCACTGCAGAGGTGGAGACAGTCAGATACCCGAGGTTCCTGGGCCAGCCTCCTAGCCTTCTGGTGAGTTTCATGCCAGTGTAGAAGGAAGGTATTCGGTGCCTGAAGAACAACACCCCAGGTTGTCCTCTGACATCCCCAACTCCCAATTTATAGTAGCACGAATACTTCTGTGCTACAACCTGTATTCAAATGCATGAGGAAGACATAAGAAGGCAACGTGAACAGTGAGCTGAGGAAAATTGGGCGAAAGAGACCTTAGTCCCTGGCATCTTATAGGGAGAGTCAGCAGGGAGCAGGGAAAACAGAAACGAGATGCCGCCATATTATTTAAGGAAGGGGATTTAAACATCACACTAAAAATCAAAACTCCAGTCAGCTGGCTTCCAGATTGTTTTTACTGCACCACCACGTTCACAGTTACAATCCAGAGTGAGGGGCCTCTGGTCCCTGCCAACAATGGCGATGTTGACTTGATATCCCAGCAGATGGTTAGACATGTGCTGCTGGGTACTGGCTGATATAATGGGATGTCTTAAGGTGAGGAAAAGAGAAGGATGGAGGCCATGAAGCGTCTACGCTAGACCTGGCTCCAATCTAGCTTCTCTGCATCCATTTCTCCTTTACCCTTGTTTGTCAGAAGAACAAGCGACATCGCCTCCGACACCTCTGCCTGAAGAATAGAGAGTTTATTTTTAAGATGACATGTGTTGCAAGTGTCTACCACTGAAGCTTGCATAAATTTTACATTATGAATGTCTCAGAGGTGGGTATGACCCTGGAATGCTGTAGGTTCTGGAAGTCAAAGCCAGTGCCTATGTTGACTCCCTCTCAGCACTAAGTCATGATCTATTAATAAGATGCATTTTCTATTTGCATATGATTTATCCTGGAGACTGAGTCATGCCAGGAGGGTTGACTAGCATGAAACACAGTTCTGGAAAACATGAAGATGCTCCAGTCCAGAAAGAGGAAAGGGAGAGAATTTGCTTATCTGAAAATATTCTAACCTTCGAATGCTGTTTAGGAACTTGCCCCTACAGAGCTCTGAGCTTGAAGGGAAGAGGACCATTAATTAGAAATTGTCCATCCAATACCAGCAAGTTCTGGGCCAATCTCATTTTCATTTTCTTTAGAGCAACACCTCTTGGCGAAGTGAATCAGAAGAGACAAAGTACTAGTCAAACTGAGATCATAAAGTGCTCAAGGGGGTGTGGGTTTTCCCAACAGCAGCTTTTAATGGGGGCTGCTGAAAGGAATCTAGTTTTCATCATTTCACTGCATCTTGGTCTTGCTTTGAAGCCCACATGACTCCAACCAGTTCCTGTTGCTGCGTGAGAATCAGAGCATGGGTGGCAAAAATTACAAAGATAGGCGTCCGTCTTTGCAATAACCAGGGGGCAGAAATGGTGTGGAGATGGAGATGGATGAGTATAAAACTATCATCAACAGTCCCGGACACATTTCAAAGTCAAAATGGATCCATCTGTGTCGAATCTTTTGCGGTGCAGCTGTAAGAGGGACAGCCAAGCAACTGCTTTTACCCACTGAGCTGTCTCACTGGCCCCAACAACGCCCTTATGACCATGAACGTTTGACATCATCTCCAGAAAGGGAAGAGTTATGGACTGAGTTTCCACAGAAAATCAGCACCCTTACTTTTCGAGGTGTAGGAAGGTTGAGCCCGTTTCTGGAGGTCACGGGATCCCTTACAAAAGAAGCAGACTTTTAAGTCAGCATACATGTAATCCGGTGGTTATTTTTAATGAATAATTTCATTCGATCATTAAAAAAATGATTGAAAGGAAGTGAGACCTGGTACTGCAGGCCTGGAACCCTGGTCACTCCAGAGGCCGAGGCTGAGGCATCACAAGGACAAGCCCCGTTAAGGCTGCAGACTGAGGGCAAACACAGTCGTAGCTATTTACCTACACTGTGTCTGAACATGGAAATAAAAGCGGGGTTTAGGTGTAGCTTAGCAGTGGCGCGCTTGTTTAGCTCAAACAAGGCTCTACCTTCCACCTTAACCCTGAAAAGAAACTGCTTGGAGCCCCAGCCGTTGGTCTGGCCCAGAACACCATGATTAAAAATGAATAAAAAGGGAACTATCTGCATTCGAGAAGTGACTAGGACGATGGTCTTCTTCAGCTCTTGTCCACCTCACCTCTTTCCAGCATGCCCTGATCTGCAATGGTCCCTTTGGTGACAATCTACTCTCACCCCCTGAGGAACCTCCACTTTTCTAGAAATAACTCCTACTTGTCTTCCACACTAAGTTCTGTGCGTGTCTTGTGTGAATTCTTTTGATGGTGCTCACGGGGACCATGGTCCCAGCCAGCATCTCTAGAGAGAGCCCAGTGATAGCTTTTAATTGAATTTCCCACATCCTCATGTGGTGGGGTGTGGAGACCTCCCTGCTCCTTTACCTACACCCGTCTGAGTAGACTCGGCACCCGGCCACAGACAGGACCTCTATGACCTTCTGATTTTCAGGGTCGTAGGCTTCAGATCACCAGTTCTTGCTCCACTGGTACGTCTGCCTCCTCCACACCCATACGAACCTGAGTTGGTGTGTTTCTCAAAAGGAGAGTGATTAGTATTTTCTGAGTATCCCTAATGTCATATATAAGGTCAGCACATTTCTTGTATTGAATTAATGAAGTAATATCAGAGCTCAAATGGCAGACCCTTCTGCTTTTACTTACTCTGTAGAATGTGTGAACTGGGTCCTTAAGGGAACTTAGAGATTTCTTCATGGCCCTTAGCTTACAATGCATTATGGCCAAAATAATCCTGCAGTCTCTAGATTAGTGGTTCCCAATCTGTGGGCCATGAGCCCCTTGAGTTTGCATATCAGATATCCTGCATATTAGATGCTTACATTATGATTCATAACAGTAGCAAAATTAAAGTTATGAAGTGGAAGCAACATAATTTTATGGTTAGGGGTCACCATTGCACGAGGAACTGTATTAAAGGTTTACAGTGTTAGGAAAGTTGAGAAACACTGCTCTAGGTCCTTACAGTAAGGAAATTATGTAGCTGAAAAATGATGACGCTTGCAGTTAAGGATGATTCATGGCTTCCATGTACATATACACAAATACACAGACACATTTTACCAAATTAGATAGAGAGAGAGAGAGAGAGAGAGAGAGAGAGAGAGAGAGAGAGAGAGAGAGAGAGAGAGAGAGGAGAAAGAAGAGAGGAGTTAGGCCAATTGCAATCTTAGTAGTACACCCATTAGTCTTTGTCCCTTATATACTTGACTGCTGTCTTAATTTCATAATTTCACTGTCTTTCATTTTCTGTTGATTCACTTTCAGATCATCCTGAAGCAACCAAACTCCATCTTGTTGGGTTCCATTAATGATTCTCCAAGACCTGAAAGTCAGGAAGAATGGACACGCTAAACCCTTCCATGGCCCATTTCATCTAAAAGTAGCCAGACTGGCATGTCTCTTAAATGACTTTAGGGTCTAAAGTCTCAAGGGGTGAGTGTCAGGTAGCTACACATTAGCAGTCTTGTAGGTCATTAGACAGGCTGCTCCTGGGAAAGCAGCAACTTGAAAAACCAAGAACTGAAAGAGTAAGGCACGCACTTCTGGTCAAAAGAATAGGATCAAACCCTGTCTCTAGCTCTAGGTAGAGACGTGACAATCTCTACTCTGTGAAGTAGAAGTCTACTGTCTAAAACTTGTAGGATCATGAACTTGCTGGTAAAGAAAAAGACACGTCATTGCTTCTCCCAAGAGTCAATCAATTGAGTACAAAAATCCCCTTCAGGAAGCTGTCAGTTGTACAATATTAGAAATAGTATAGGGCTTTCCTACAGTGTGGACCAGCAAAATGAGCTCTTTAGCCGTTAACCTCCACTTTTGCCTCTTCAGAGTACATTCTTTCTTCCCTACTGTGAAACAAATTAACCAATACACACACACACACACACACACACACACACACACACACACACACGCAGAGCGAGCGAGAGAGAGAGAGAGAGAGACAGAGACAGAGACAGAGATAGAGACAGACAGAGACAGAGAGAGACAGAGACAGAGAGAGAGATGGAGATGGAGATACACAGAGAGAACAAATATAAGAAGCGAATAGGCTGCCCAGTACATATTAGCTAAAAATGAAGAGGAGAGGTGAAGATGCTGGGAAGTGATTGTGGCTTAGTTAAGTTGTTTAGTGAAATCATGGGATAGAGTGAAGCTGACAGCCAGGGAACCAGATCAGCTGGACTTCTTAAGCTTTATTTATATGAGCAGTTTGTAAAAGTCTGGACATGGAGAGTGATTTGCACAGTGTCACTACATCATGCTGCCTCTCAAACAAGTTATATATAGCACTGGATACACATACATACACATATACATGTACACATATCTGGACACATGTTACATATGTGGCTTAATATTTTCCTTCACTTAATTAAAATAAAAACTTTGTCTACTTTTAAGCACACGGAATTGTGTCTTCAAGAAAGATTCTTTACTTGAAACACAAAGGCTGCAAGCAGTCAGACAGTATGCTAGATCTGCAGGCTAGATGTTGTAGTTCTTTCTTGGAAGATCTAGATTGCTTCTAGGCCTTTCTCTCCTACAATCTAAATCTTGTTTCTTCTTAGTCATCCCGTCTAATGACATCTGAACAGCAGTAAGGAAGAATGGATTCCATTCGTCTTATGACAGCAGTATTTAGAAGAGGCAGTGACAACAACGTTCTGGAAAGAAGACTGGGAAATAGCACGAAAAGCTACAGTGTACTATTTTGTAGAGTTTATATCTTGGACTCTGTAGAATGATTCAGATTTCAAGTACTCTGTCTCTGTCTTTGAAAGATATTTATTCTCTCACTGTCTCATCGTCTCCCATTCAGAATAGATGGTGGCGCACGCCTTTAATCCCAGCACTCGGGAGGCAGAGGCAGGAGGATCTCCGTGAGTTCGAGGCCGGGCTGGACCGACAGCCTCCAAAACAATACAGAGAAACCCTGTCTCGTAAAAACCAAAAAAAAAAAAAAAAAAGAATAGATGGTGACTATACGCATGCCACATTGTACAAAGAAGTTAACAGAGATTTTCTCAGAAGTCTTCAAGAGTTGCCTTGGAAGTGAGTATGCTTTGATAGGGTCCCATCTTTTCAGAGCTCAATAAAAACATGCCATGAAAGATGTGGGTAATGTGGATGAGCTTTGGTAACTGTAAATTCTATCAGTTTCAGAAACACATGTTCAACTTTAGTCTTCGGGTCAGTTAAAAAGTTATTTTAGTTGCAGAAATATCTAAAGAGAAGAACATCTAAATATCCAAAGAGAATAATAGAATGAATAGAAGGAGGGAGAAAAAGAAGGGGCGGTGGTAAGGTGGAGGAAGGAAGAAGGGGGAAGGATGGATGAAAATACCTTTCCTAAGTCTGCTAGAAAACATTTTAGATATGTATGAATGCTCAATATATAATAATTAACACTTTTAGGTAACTATGTCCTACAAAACTGCAAGTTTTCACTAATACCCAGGCAGAACTCTTGCCTTCAAACACATTTTGGATGTTGTAATTTATCTTCTTATTGTTCCAATATATACCAATAACTTAGCAAAATATATGACAGTTTAACCAGATACTTCGTTTAAACCCCAAAATAGAAGTTTACTCTGGGTTTTAAGAATAATCTTGACAGAAAAAACACGTATTTATATAGTTGAGCTATTGTTTCACAGGCAATGTTTAAGGTCGTTCCTTTGTAAGAGACCTTTGTCAATGAACAGCAGTCATGACAGGACCACTGGATACACAGTAGAAAACCCTCACCAGACCTTGTGAACTTGAATAAATTAATGTCTGTTTTTCCACCTGTAAGTGGAAAAGAGGTGTCACACGTAGGATGTTTAGTGCAATAATTGGCACATAGTAAGTTCTAGACCTCTGTGAAGTATTTGTTGGTCCCAACATCCTCCTCATAGCCTCACTGTCCAAGAGCAGCTGCCTTGAGGCATAGGAAACACAAGCTGTCAGTGACCACACCTACCGTGGGCTGGAAAGCACCGTAGAGGTCTTCAAGTTCAACCTCCCACTAGTCACAGGCTGGAGAACTGGCTTAAGGGCACATCCTTGGTTATGAGATTTCCTGGCTTCTTCCTTGAGCTCAGACTGATGGGGTCTGAACTTGAACACTCCAATGTCTGGAGAGTGAACTGACCCCAGTGATGGGTTCTAGCTGGCTTCAGGATCCAGCTTGCACACAGAATGGAGGGCAGTGGGGTGATTCTGAGTTGAAGGCTGGTGTTGCAGAAGCTGAGCCTGGAGATGCTTTCTGTAGCAAACAAAGGGTAGGCAGAGTTGTTGATTATTATTGTCATTATTATGGTTGTTGTCATTTAGTTTAGTTTAATTGTGTTGAGGACTGTCTTTGGGGTCTATACATGCTAAGTATAGATAGATAAATAACAGAGATTGACCCCAAACCCCTATGACTTCTTCAAAGTTTTATCAGGTCATATTTCCACTATACCCAAGTTAACAGTAGCTCACCATCTTGTTTAATATAAAATCTTTAACAGAGACCTTAAAGCTCAGAGCAGCTTCCCCAACACCTAAAAGTCCTGCCCCCTTTTCTTGGTTCCCCACCCTGACTCGGCCTCAGACACCACTTGGCTGTCTTCAGAGGACATCTGGTACCTTTCAGATATAGGGCCTTGGTCCCTCTGCCTGGACTGATCACTGTCACCCACACATCCTGTGGATCTGATTTCAACTCACTAGAGCCAGCTCTGCTCAAAGGCTTCTGCAACTCACCTCACACAGAATGATGCTCTGTCTGGTTGCTCTTTTTTGTTCTTAATGTTATCATAGGCTGGCTTTTTCATGAGGGTATGTATGTGTGTGTTATATTGTACAGATCAGATGTCATCACTAGGTATCTGTGTCTATTGCTCTACATCTTTTTTATTTTTATTTTTTGAGACAGCATATGTCACTGAACCTGGAACTTAATGACTTAGGTTGGCTGGCTGGCTGACCAGCAAGCTCCAGGCTCCAGGGATCCTCTGGTCTCTGCCTCTTCGGAGCTGGAATTACAGGCATGTACCTGATTTTTATGTGGGAGCTGGAGAGCCAAATTCAGGCCCTCAAGCTTGTACAACAAACACTTTACTGATGGAGCCATCTCCCCAGACCTTGGTGACTGATTTATTTGCTTACTGTGTTTCTCACAACTAGAATGTGGGTCCTGTTTTTCTGGCGTTAGTGAGGTTTTCAATGTGAACCCCCGGCACCGTGAGGCAAATGTCTACCACTGAGCTGCATCTCCAGCCTTGGAACTGGGCCCTCTGAGATCAGGATGTTATCCAGAGGAGAGAGGAGTAGGGTTCTGTGCACTTAAAAGACTATTGATTCTGAGTGTGGTGGTGAACATCTTTAGTCCTATCACTAGAGAGCAGAGGCAAGGGGTTCTCTGTGAGTTTAAGGCCAGTCTGGTCTACATGACAAGTCTCAGGCTAGCCAGGAACGTAAAGTAAGAACATGACTTAAAAAAAATACCAAACACAAACAAGCAAGCAAAACCAAAAGACAAAACAAGAAAGCCATGTTAAAACTTTGTTTTCTTCTCTACTATATCAGCACCAGACCAGTCACTGTTATATAAAAGCTCAATAAACTCAGTTAAGAAGTCAGCTTTAAAGTATTTTTAATAGAGAAAGCACCCTGCATGGTGGTGCACACAAACAAACAATAAAAAGCTAATAAATGATTAGACTTGGCACTTAGCACTGCTCTGTGAAATCCCAAAGTCATGCCAACTTATCTCTAACCCCCAGTGTGTGTGTGTGTGTATGGATGTACGCACGTCCTTCACATTTCTTGTGAAATGTGGTGACGATTTACCTTGGGTAGGATCATTGAATTGACCTTTCTGATCTAGAAATGTATTTATTTCCTCCTCCCATGGGGAAGTTTCTGCCTCAGGCTAGGTGTTAGCCTGGGTAATATGTACAGATGAGTGAATGATGTCACAACCTTCTTAGCACTTACAAGCTGTGAAGAGTTTTGGTTCTGGGATGTCAATAATGGAAGATCTCTACAACATCCTGTGTTACTCTGTCTCCTACACTGAAATACCACGAACTTGATTTTTTACAAAACAAGTTTCTTCCTCATAATTTTTGTATCGGCAAATTTGAGTCAACAAATTTGATGCAGGTGAGGGACAGGTTTCTAGTCCTAGATGATTCAATACCAGCTTGTTGTGTCCCCACATAGAAGAGGCAGGGGTCTCTCTGGTCCCTGTAAGAAAACTAAATACCACTCAGCTGAGATTAGGATTCCAACATATAAATGTTAAACGATGCCACCTTCAGACTCAAGCATTTCTCTTCCATCCTCCGTGTTAGATGAGATGGTCTCTAGCACTGTGTGATAGATTTTTCAAACATGGATGGGTAGGCGATGTCACTAACAAGCTAGGGAGCTGAAGGTAGATTTGAACTTGTTACCAAACAAGCCCAGCTGTTATCTAGAGTTTATAAGTGACTTGTTCACTCGTCACCCTCATGGTTACTCTCAATTTCATCTATTAACAACTTTTTGTTTGTTTTTTTCTATACAGGGTTTATCTGTATTGTTTCGGAGGCTGTCCTAGAACTCCCTCTGTAGACCAGGCTGGCCTCCAACTCACAGAGATCCGCCTGCCTCTGCCTCCCGAGTGCTGGGATTAAAAGGCATGCGCCACCAATGCCTGGCTATAACTTTATCTTTTTCAGAAGAAAAAAATCATTAACTTTGAAATAATAGATGCTTTTTCTTGATTGTCTGTTTTTGGGGGAAAATAATGAGGTGTTCTCCTGTTGGAGTTTGTTTCCCAGATGTTCCAAACATTCTGTAAAACTCTTTTTCCTCCGTGTAGCTGCAGGGATAAACAGCACACACCTCAGCAGCCACTGAGCTACATACGTCCGCTCTTTAACCCTGTCCTAACGCCCTGGCCATTGTTTTGCATTCTCTTACGTATCTCCCTAAATACTGTAAAGGCCTGTTTTCCAGCTCCCTAAGATGTTTTTCTGTAGTTAACTTTAAAAAAGACATTACAGAAGTTACTACTGTTAGAGCCGGAGGTGTGTGCTAGCACGTGACCACATCTTTATTTATGAAAAATGGCAAAAAGCCATTTGTTAACTTCATATTCACTGTTAGACTTAACCCAGTAGCTTGTTTTATGTTCTTAAAAATCTCTAGTGTCATCATGCATAAATTCTTGTTAATTAATTCCTCCCTCTCGTTCAAGACACTGAAATGCATGCAAAAACATGGGCTTTTTCTTTCCTCATTTGTATGTGCGTGCTTGCACATGTGCGGGCACACTTGGGGGATTGCACGTGGATACGCATGCATGGGCTTGCGGAGGCCCTAGGTTGACGATGAGAAGCTGCCTCCACTGATCCCCCCTCCCTTCTTTCTTACCATTGAGTCATGGCCTCTTCACAGAACCCAGAGCTTGTCGGTACAGTGGGTCTCCATATTGCTCCAGAGATTCCGGTCTCTACCATCTGATGCCAGGATTGCGGGTAAGCCATCATACCCACATGTCATTTATAGGGCCCCGGGGCTACAGATTCCAGTCTTCAGGCTTACAGGGCAAATGCTAGCTACTGAGATATAGCCTAGGGACACTCATATTTTCAAAAGGTCAAATTAAGAGCTAGAGAACCTGACCTCCATGAGACTTAGGGTCACTGGCAAAGGGGTGTGTGTCCCCAACATACAGAATACTCTTATTTCAGAGTTTCAGATGCTGAGGGGGAGGTGATCAGCAAATCACTCGTGTTTCAAGAGTA